GCTGTTGATCATGTCGAAAAGTTAAGCCTAGGTCCCAACTACGTTTTGGACGCACGGTTTTTTGGTTCCTTGCGTCCGGCTGGGACGTAGCTAGATCGCACGTAGCGGCTGTTGATCATGTCGAAATGTTAAGCCTAGGTCCCAACTACGTTTCTGACGCACAGTTTTTTGGTTCCTTGCGTCCGGCTAGGACGTAGCTAGATCGCACGTAGCGGCTGTTGATCATGTCGAAAAGTTTCTACGTGCTGTTTGCGTCCTCCAAAAGTCACACGATGGACGTGCTCCTCACGCACGAACTCCTTCCCGATTCCTTCCCTGCGATCTAGCTAGCCGGACGCAAGGAACGTGTGAGAGATAGATTTTTTAACAGATATTCACAGATATGACATTAGCTAGATAGATGGTCATTTTCAGCTAAACTCAGTTTCTGCGTGCTGTTTGCTCTGAAAATGACCATCTATCTAGCTAGAGACATATCTGTGAATATCTGTTTAAAAAAATCTATCACTCACCCTGGTAGAGGGTAGGCTTAACTTAGGTGACGTTAATGTAACAGTCAGTGATTATATGGGGCAAACCTGGTTTCTCTTTGTCTTACACAACGTATATACAACCTGTCAGGCTACATGCCATATCCAAAAGATAGCACGTCTCTCACTCGTACATCGCGGTTGGAATTAAAATAAATTGAAAAACACTGATATTATATTGATCATTTTTATTCCTCATATATCTTTCATATCTGAACCTATCAAAGTGATACCTAGCAGTAATGATTAAGATTTACAAAATTTCAGTTCATGACTGAATCAACATATGTTAAAGACACGTATTTGGAAGTCGGCGTACCTTGGCTTGTGCGCCGCTATAAGCTATATTCTGACTCGTGCCTAACTTGCAGAATGCATTACAATTCATCAATCACTTCCTTTACCATACACTATTGAAGAGGATTCAACAAATTCATGCTAGATTTTTCATAAAAAACTGTCATTCAAAAAATAAATTTCCCACAAATTATTAATAATTTCATTTCTTGCTGTGTTGTGGAAGGAACACTTGAAAATTATATATTTATAATGAGGAAATAATTCAAAGGGATTCGAAGTAAAAATTCCATGCATATGTACTTTCACTGCCTAAAATAATTCCATTTTTTACCAAAATTGATACAATTAACTATACATAAATTGCTGATATAGTAATTAATAACTGCAATTTTTATAACTGAATTATCTTTAAAGATATTCATTATCCAAAATAATAGATGAAAACTTTTATGCAGTATTACATTTTAAAAGATGAAGGTAAGTCCAAATTGTAGGAATATCTTTAAAGATAATGGTATACTATATGGAAATAAACTTCCACTGCATGTAACAGTTCAAGCAAATTAAAAGAAAAAAAAACATAAATGGATTGGACTTTTGTAAACTTTGGCATAATTAAGTATAAACTGAGTTAAAATTTCATCTAAATAATGTCTATGAATGAAATAATTGGAACAATCATTAATCTGATTGAAAATATTGACTAGTGCTGCCTCCTACAGTTTTGATTGCATAACTGTGTTACTGTGATGAGAAGCTGTCATGTGACGGTCACCTTCCACATCTCCAACAAGATTGCCACTGCCAAATATATTTTTGGGGTCAATATATTCCTTGACAGCCTTCATCATACCCAGACCGGTTTTAGACACTGTGCGCTCCAACCATCTTTTTCTTATTTTTCCAACTGAAATTGATGAAGTATTTTTTAACATTTATATGAAATAAATAAGCAAGAAATGGCAAATCATGTTTTCTGTTTGATTAAATTTTTAGCAGACATTAATACTTATCATAGTGAAAAACATCAAACTGTTGGGTGTCATATATGTACAATCAAAACTGGAAAAAAAATTAAACTAAAATTACTTTTAAGCGAAGTTTTATGTGGAATGAAAACACATTCACATCAATTTTTGTAATGAAGACAGACATAAAAGGTGCTAAAAGAGTTTTTAAAAGCTTCAGATTGAAATAACTACAAGTTTTATGAATTTAAAATAAATAAGTTTGGTCTAGGGGAAGAGGGGTGGAGTAGAAATGATCTCAGGACTGTCATCGTACCTCCATGATGGTGTGAAATGCTGCCTCCATTGGCCAGTATTTCCTCTCTTGCACATGTCTGAAATTCAAGATCAGAACAAAAGTTGTTCAAATTGAAATATAAACATCTGCACTGTTTTGACATTTTTATAACAAATAAAATAACTTACAGGTGGTTGATATACATAGTACAGTTATTAATAGTGTTTTTGTCATAATCAAAAAATTAATCATATTTCATTAATAAATAGTATATTCAATGTGATTTTCCCATTTCATTGTTGATGCAAATTTAAATGAATTTTTATTGTGTGTAGTAAAATAAGTGTTTAAAATGGTGATGTCCCCACACTTGAGGAACACACTGTTAATGTGGAAGTAATTCCATAAAGTTTTCAAACACCTTATTCATTCTAAAACTAACTTTTTCCAAATAGATCATTTAAGTAACTCCTAAAAGTGAACTCTCCAACTTGAACCCATTATCTTTTCAAAACTTTTAAATCAGCACTCTATGTATTACTAAAAGAACACTGTTTTGTTGTAATTCATTAAATAATTCCACCCAAATCTACTGAGCAATTACCGTACCTCAATGTCCTCATATGTCTGTACTGGATTGGACAGGCCACGGTAGTTGTAGGCAAAGTAAAAATACACACAAGCGCCAGTATCGTAGGTCTGAGTGACTCTGGAAGAGAGAACTTACAAGTGAAACCTTGTGAAAGGGATGCAGAGGCACCCTGCCATACCACAGCAACCTGGTGCCAAAAACTCTTCTGAAAAAGGCTAATGGCTCTCCACGTGTAAGGCATGAGAAATACCTCTGTTGAACAAGATTGGCAGAAAGAGAAGTAGCAAAAAATTTCATCTAGGAGAAAATATCTTGTATATCTTAAAGGTACATACAAACCGAGCATCGGTACAGCGTGGATTCCCAGTAACACATGTAAACCACTTCTACTAGTTTCTTATACGACTCGTATAAATTCGACATGCCAAGGGATAAACTGAATAGATCACTCAATCAGCCCTAAAAGAGCTTTAGACTGCTCCTTTCTTTAATTTTTTGGTCAGAAATTTGACCTACTTTTGTGACCTACTTTTCTGCCCCATTGACATACAGCATAGAATGCTAGAAAAATCTGTTCAAACATCATTTTCGGGTAAAATTAAACAATGCCTTTTGGTAATTCTCTTAGTTATACTACTTGAAACTTTATGCTAGCATCTGATTGGTTTTTGTGACAAAAAATTGACTTTGTATGCATCTTTAATAATTCATGATTGTATATTATTTAACTATCACCTAGCTAGATGCTGAAGTCATAAATTACTCAGTAATACAGAATATAATATTAAATAAAATTTGATAAATACTTAATCACATATATTATATATTAAAATTGCACACAAACACAAAAAACATACATAATTTATTTGACGGGGAAAATAGCAATGTGCTCTCAATTCTGGAGAAAAATGTCTTTTCTTGTCTCTTGTGTAATAATGATGAAAATACAAAATCTTTTCTAAAGAAACTAATTGAATTTTCTACCTATCAGTCATGACTTTTGAACTCTTCTGGAGCTCACATCTGGGGACAGTCATGTGATCATAGTCCCTTGATAAAAGTTCAAAATGTCATGCTTCACAGGTCAAAAAATAATCCTTTCTCTTTAGAAATGGTCCTCTTTTTAATGACATTTAATCAGTTTACCTGCAGGTGGAAAGGGGTGGGTACTGTACTCCTCTCTCCTTACACTCCCGCTGCAACCTGTCCTTAACATTGCGGCATAGATCAAGTACTCTAAAATAGAGAGAATTGGAGATTGTGTTGGATTAAATGTGACCAATTCTCATCTCTTTCCATCTAAAAAGAAAATATTGAAATTCGAGTGATTGTTTCGATAACTTGGACAAAAATGTGTCTTGATTCTGAATTATACCACAAATAGGTTATACGAAATGACAGAAATCATTTTCTAATGAATATTTTATATGATAGCTGAATAACTTATCATCATCTTTTATGTTATTCTTCAGATTGAAGAACATATAAATAATCACCTATCCCAAGGTACTGATGTCTCAAATGATTCTCCAACAACATAGTACTCGAACCCAAGATCCTGAAACATATGAAAGATGTTGGTCATCCAAACAAGACGATTTAATGCAGAAACCAATACACATTTAATACACTTGAACATGGGATTAATTTAACAGTTTGGTTGCAAAGGTGACAGAGCTGTGTGTACGTGTGTGTGTGCATGTGCGCGTGTCCTCTCTGTACAATAAAGACTCAGACAACCCAGCAAAGAGTTTCATCAGTTGTGTTATACATTCAAAGTTTCAAAAACAGTTATCAAACAACAGCTATATATCGGTCATCAGACCAACTGTTCTTTGAAGATACTACTGTTACTCAGATGAGCAATAATACTTCTTCCTATACCCTCTGTATTCCTAACTGATACCAAGACAACCGAAGAGAAATGTCACCATTCTTCAACACCTTCTGTACTTCAAAACCTATAACATTATATCTAACACTAACAATCACTACACTCCCTGTGCAACAAATACATACTCTGTCCTTTAATTTCCACACCCCCTGTATTTCAAATGCACACTGTTTTTCTGTAGACTTACCCTAAGATAGGCAATAACAAAGGTGAGCATATAGCCCCTCTGTCCATTGTCTTCACCCCCAGCAATGCCACTGGAATTAAACAAAAATTTTCTAAGACATGATGCAAACTCTGGCAGCATTGCAGGCTCAAGAACCTGGTAATATCTAGATGACACAAGGTCTACCAAGACATTACAGGGCAAATATTTTTTTTAATGTAATTGATTTGGAGCCACCATTTATATGTTCATTTCCCCAAAAATTCATTTGAAGAACCTTTGTGTGACAGATTTGCAGATAAAATAGAAAATGTTCCATAAGGTACCATTCTTTAGCAAGGCCAACTTACCCAAATTTAGCAGCAATATCATAAACTCTTTTCTCTGAAGCTTCCACCTCCTGCAGAGAGAAAAAAAATATATGGATCAAAATTTGTTCCTTAAGAAATATGAAAATATTTTTGATGACAGTTAGGATGTCAACAACTGACAATATATTTGGTCAATAATGATATATAATGTTACATGATCTCAACTGAGGAGGCTATTGCAGTAACAAACATATATATACCTCTTTGGTTCCCTCGAAAAGCAGTGTAGCCACAGAAAGTTTGTGAGGGTCAAAACCTTTGATTTTGGTGATGTACAGTTTCTTGATACCATCTACAAAACTGGTGAAGATGGAAGAGGCCTCAGGCTTCAATGCATGACCTGGGGAGAGAAGAGACTCTTAATATTGTTTCTATAGATTATTTAAACTTTAGATTAATAGACAACATTGTAAGATAACATATACATAAATCAATACTGCCCCCCCCCCCCCCCCAGAAGTTTTTGATTCTGTTATTTCGCTTGTTAGTTTGTTATTAACATTAAAGTAACATAAATATTACACCCCAGTTTGGATGGCTAATTATGTGGTAAACTGTAGTTGCTGTACACTACCTACCAAACTGAAACTGTTCATTATCCATCAGCCTTATAGAGGCAGGGGCACACCTCTGAAAAATAAGCAACATACCCAATAACAGCATTTATTTTCGATAAAATATTTATAAAAACACCCATACTTAATCTCTACAGATGATATACCAATATAAATTGGGTTTTGGTGTGCAAAATGCCCAAGATGAAATACATTTTAAACACTGCATTATCTGAAAAAAGATGGTAAGTAAAGCTGCCTGTGTCAAAACCTTTTAAGTCAAATCAGGGGTGGATCCAGAGATATTTTCTGTTATTATTTCAAATTTTCTTTAGTGATCCATCCTCCATTTTTGACCATCTTCTGACAAAATTAAACATCTCTCAATGTCAACTTAAAAATTCTGACTGTCTTCCCGAAGACCCAGAAGACAGCTTCCATCTGCTTCTGGCCTCACTGGACAGCAAGGTCTCTAGGAATCTATTGGTCTAATGCAGAGCCAATAACTAAACATTAATGATTACTGTGACATAAAAAATAATTTATTTCAAATATTGCCACTACTATAGCACATCCTGGAATGGGCATTACAGGCACATATACTGTGGGTTCCTTGGCTTCTAAGGTATTCCCTTCTCTGCCCCCCCTCCTCCCGGAACCCACCCTTCCACCCACACAAAGCCTCCTTTAACAAAATTTGGGATCCACCAGCATTTTGCACATTTACCTGTCTGGCAACTTCTCTCAAACACTTGACACCATTTTCAAAGTTTGGGAATACAATGGATCCATATTTTTTACACTCAGGCATGGGACGGATCTTCAGCGTCACCTCTGTGATAAGACCTAGAGTACCTGCAAGCAGAAGGTCATCTTCAGATTATAATTAAGATTCAACTGCATTATTGTATTATTCAGAATTTACATAAGAGGAGGAACATAATTAAAATATCTGACATCAAGGAATCTTCTTTCTTTTGTCAAATGTTTTGCTTAATGAAAATAATTCTGCCTTTATTTTTCCCCCATAAAGTTAATAGAATAACATTTGTTTATATTAAATCAACCAAATGAGGCCATTTGAAAAACAGAAAGTTAACCCTAAACACTAACACTTAATTTAGTTAAGGTTTGGCTCCAATGAGGTGACGTACCCTCTGAGCCCATGATAAAATGGTGGATGTCTGGTCCAGCAGAGATCCTGGGAACCTGACAGCTCTTCTCCATCACTCCTCTGGGAGTCACTGTTTTCACATGAACAACCTGGAACAGGAAGAAAACATTTACTATGGGAGCCACGTACTTGAAATACATGCTACAAAGATTTGGAATGAACAGCCTTTGACTGTTGGAGGCAGAAAATCTAGACCATTTTAAAACCATATTCAAAAACTTACATCTTTTGAGACTTTTACAAAGCCCAGTCAGAAGTTAGTAGTTTATTCAAATAAATGTACTTACGAAGTCTTAAATACACAAAATAATAACAGAACACCAACAGGTAATTTAAACTATTTGGGTCACTTACCAAGTCTTCAATATTCCCATAGACATTTTTCTTCATTCCTGAAGCCCTGGTGGCGACCCAGCCACCCAGTGAACTAAACTCCATGGAGTCTGGCTCATGTCCTGTGCAGTAGCCTTTCTCTGCAAGCTAGACACAAAAAAGATGAAATGAAAAATAATATTAAAAAATCATTGATAATATAAACACAAGGGAATTCGGCCTGTGTATGGTTCACCAACTACCTAGGGTAGGAAAGCACCCCCCCCCCCCAATAAAAAAGAAACAGAATAAATATTCAGTGTCTATATATGTGGTACCTGTTTTGCTTTTCATGCACATACATGGTATATGTATATCACAAAAACCTTCTTTTACAATCTTGTTACACTTAGGATATCAAGGGCCTCCTCACTTGGAAATAATGTGCAGTAAGGGCATTTTGCAACACTTAAACTGTGGGTGTTGGATAAAAGGGGAGGAAGTGGTGACCTGTTCACTCCTATATGTCATTACACTTACCTGTCTCTCCAGGCCCTGTCCTATGATGCCAGACTCACAATGTACAGTATACTGGTACACTTACCTGCCTCTCCAGGTCCTGTCCTATGATGCCAGACTCACAATGTACAGTATACTGGTACACTTACCTGCCNCTCCTCACGCACGAACTCCTTCCCGATTCCTTCCCTGCGATCTAGCTAGCCGGACGCAAGGAACCTAAAAACCGTGCGTCCAAAACGTAGTTGGGACCTAGGCTTAACTTACCCTCTACCTTGGTGAGAGATAGATTTTTTAACAGATATTTACAGATATGTCATTAGCTAGATAGATGGTCATTTTCAGCTAAACTCAGTTTCTACGTGCTGTTTGCTCTGAAAATGACCATCTATCTAGCTAGAGACATATCTGTGAATATCTGTTTTAAAAAATCTATCACTCACCCTGGTAGAGGGTAGGCTTAACTTAGGTGACGTTAATGTAACAGTCAGTGATTATATGGGGCAAACCTGGTTTCTCTTTGTCTTACACAACGTATGTACAACCTGTCAGGCTACATGCCATATCCAAAAGATAGCACGTCTCTCACTCGTACATCGCGGTTGGAATTAAAATAAATTGAAAAACACTGATATTGTATTGATCATTTTTATTCCTCATATATCTTTCATATCTGGACCTATCAAAGTGATACCTAGCAGTAATGATTAAGATTTACAAATTTTCAGTTCATGACTGAATCAACATATGTTAAAGACACGTATTTGGAAGTCGGCGTACCTTGGCTTGTGCGCCGCATTAAGCTATATTCTGACTCGTGCCTAACTTGCAGAATGCATTACAATTCAGCAATTACTTCCTTTTCCATACACTATTGAAGAGGAATCAACAAATTCATGCTAGATTTAAAAAAAAAAAAAAAACTGTCATTCAAAGAATAAATTTCCCACAAATTATTAATAATTTCATTTCCTGTTGTGTTGTGGAAGGAACACTTGAAAATTATATATTTATAATGAGGAAATAATTCAAAGGGATTCGAAGTAAAAATTCCATGCATACGTACTTTCACTGCCTAAAATAATTCCATTTTTTACCAAAATTGATACAATTAACTATACATAAATTGCTGTTATAGTAATTAATAACTGCAATTTTATAACTGCAACGTATTCCTACAATTTGGACTTACCTTCATCTTTTAAAATGTAATACTGCATAAAAGTTTTCATCTATTATTTTGGATAATGAATATCTTTAAAGATAATGGTATACTATATGGAAATAAACTTCCACTGCATGTAACAGTTCAAGCAAATTAAAAGAAAAAAAAACATAAATGGATTGGACTTTTGTAAACTTTGGCATAATTAAGTATGAGTTAAAATTTCAACTAAATAATGTCTATGAATGAAATAATTGGAACAATTTTTAATCTGATTGAAAATATTGACTAGTGCTGCCTCCTACAGTTTTGATTGCATAACTGTGTTACTGTGATGAGAAGCTGTCATGTGACGGTCACCTTCCGCATCTCCAACAAGATTGCCACTGCCAAATATATTTTTGGGGTCAATATATTCCTTGACAGCCTTCATCATACCCACACCTGTTTTGGACACTGTGCGCTCCAACCACCTTTTTCTTATTTTTCCAACTGAAATTGATGAAGTATTTTTTAACATTTATATGAAATAAATAAGCAAGAAATGGCAAATCATGTTTTCTGTTTGATTAAATTTTTAGCAGACATTGATACTTATCATAGTGAAAAACATCAAACTGTTCGGTGTCATATATGTACAACCAAAACTGGAAAAAAATCAAACTAAAATTACTTTTACACAAAGTTTTATGTGGAATGAAAACACATTCACATCAATTTTTGTAATGAAGACAGACATAAAAGGTGCTAAAAGAGTTTTTAAAAGCTTCAGATTGAAATAACTACAAGTTTTATGAATTTAAAATAAATAAGTTTGGTCTAGGGGAAGAGGGGTGGAGTAGAAATGATCTCAGGACTGTCATCGTACCTCCATGATGGTGTGAAATGCTGCCTCCATTGGCCAGTATTTCCTCTCTTGCACATGTCTGAAATTCAAGTTCAGAACAAAAGTTGTTCAAATGGAAATATAAATATCTGAACTGTTTTGATGTTTTTGTAACAAATAAATTAACTTACAGGTGATATGCATAGTACAGTTATTAATAGTGTTTCTGTCATAATTAAAAAATTAATCATGTTTCAATAAATAAAATCGTTAGTAAATAGTATATTCAATGGGATGTTTCCCATTTCATTGTTGATGCAAATTTAAATGACCTTTAATTTTCCATAGTAAAATAAGTGTTTAAAATGTTTATGTTTCCATACACACTGTAAACATGAAATTTATTCAATAAAATTTTCAAACACCTTATTCATTCTAAAACTAACCTTTTCCAAATAGATCATTTAAGTAACTCCTAAAAGTGAACTCTCCAACTTGAACCCATTATCTTTTCTAAACTTTTAAATCAACACTCTATGTATTACTACAAGAACATTGTTTTGTGGTAATTCATTAAATAATTGATCCAAATCTACTGAGCAATTACCTTACCTCAATATCCTCATATGTCTGTACTGGATTTGACAGGCCACGATAGTTGTAGGCAAAGTAAAAATACACACAAGCACCAGTATCGTAGGTCTGAGTGACCCTGGAAGAAAAAAACTTACAAGTGAAACAAAATCTTTTCTAAAGAAACTAATTGAATTTTCTACCTATCAGTCATGACCTTTGAACTCTTCTGGAGCTCACATCTGTGGACAGTCATGTGATTATAGTCCTTTGATAGAAGTTCAAAACGTCATGCTTCATAGGTAAAAAAATAATCTTGTCTGTTTAGAAATGGTCCTCTTTTTAACGACGTTTAATAAGTTTACCTGCATGTGGAGAGGGGTGGGTATTGTACCCCTCTCTCCTTACACTCCCGCTGCAACCTGTCCTTCACATTGCGGCACAGATCAAGTACTCTTAAATAGAGAGAAACGGAAATAGTGTTGAATTAAATTTGACCAATTCTCATCTCTTTCCATCAAAAAAAAATATTGAACTTTGAGTGATTGTTCCGATAACTTGGACAAAAATGTTGGACGAGTGTCTCGATTCTGAATTATACCATAAATAGGTTATACGAAATTACAGGAATCATTTTCTAATGAATATTTTATATGATAGCTAAATTACTTTTCATCATCATTCATATTATTTTTAAGATTGAAGAACATATAAATAATCACCTATCCCAAGGTACTGATGTCTCAAATGATTCTCCAACAACATAGTATTCGAACCCAAGATCCTGAAACATATGAAAGATGTTGGTCATCCAAACAAGACGATTTAATGCAGAAACCAATACACATTTAATACACTTGAACATGGGATTAATTTAACAGTTTGGTTGCAAAGGTGACAGAGCTGTGTGTACGTGTGTGTGTGCATGTGCGCGTGTCCTCTCTGTACAATAAAGACTCAGACAACCCAGCAAAGAGTTTCATCAGTTGTGTTATACATTCAAAGTTTCAAAAACAGTTATCAAACAACAGCTATATATCGGTCATCAGACCAACTGTTCTTTGAAGATACTACTGTTACTCAGATGAGCAATAATACTTCTTCCTATACCCTCTGTATTCCTAACTGATACCAAGACAACCGAAGAGAAATGTCACCATTCTTCAACACCTTCTGTACTTCAAAACCTATAACATTATATCTAACACTAACAATCACTACACTCCCTGTGCAACAAATACATACTCTGTCCTTTAATTTCCACACCCCCTGTATTTCAAATGCACACTGTTTTTCTGTAGACTTACCCTAAGATAGGCAATAACAAAGGTGAGCATATAGCCCCTCTGTCCATTGTCTTCACCCCCAGCAATGCCACTGGAATTAAACAAAAATTTTCTAAGACATGATGCAAACTCTGGCAGCATTGCAGGCTCAAGAACCTGGTAATATCTAGATGACACAAGGTCTACCAAGACATTACAGGGCAAATATTTTTTTTAATGTAATTGATTTGGAGCCACCATTTATATGTTCATTTCCCCAAAAATTCATTTGAAGAACCTTTGTGTGACAGATTTGCAGATAAAATAGAAAATGTTCCATAAGGTACCATTCTTTAGCAAGGCCAACTTACCCAAATTTAGCAGCAATATCATAAACTCTTTTCTCTGAAGCTTCCACCTCCTGCAGAGAGATAAAAATACACGGATCAAAATTTGTTCCTTAAGAAATATGAAAATATTTTTGATGACAGTTAGGATGTCAACAACTGACAATATATTTGGTCAATAATTATATATAATGTTACATGATCTCAACTGAGGAGGCTATTGCAGTAACAAACATATATACCTCTTTGGTTCCCTCAAAAAGCAGTGTAGCCACAGAAAGTTTGTGAGGGTCAAAACCTTTGATTTTGGTGATGTACAGTTTCTTGATACCATCTACAAAACTGGTGAAGATGGAAGAGGCCTCAGGCTTCAATGCATGACCTGGAGAGAGATGAGACTCTTAATGTGTGTTTCTGTGTTTACATATATTATTTATAATTCAGATTATATATAAGACATCATTTTGACATATCATATACATACTCAAAATCATTATCCCCCCCCCCCCCCCAAAAAAAAAGAGGCTATGTTTTTGGTTCTGTTAGATTGTTTGTTAGTTTGTTATCAACATTATGCAAAAAAAAAAAAAAAACAAAAAAAACAAAAAAACAAAAACAAAAAAAAAAAACACCAGAATATTACACGGCAATTTGGAAGTAAATCAGATGGAATAGCTATTTAAGCAATATATTGTACACAACATACCAAACTGAAACTGTTCATTATCCATCAGCCTTATAGAGGCAGGGGCACATCTCTGAAAAATAAGCAACATACACTGACCAATTGTAATAACAACATTAGTTTCTGTAAGTTATTTATAAAGAAAAGAAAAAACTTAATTTCTTGAAATGATATACCAATCTAACTTGGTTTTTAATGTCCAAAATGACAAAGGTAAAATATATTACTAAAACACATTGCACTTTCTGAATATAGTCAAGTATCTAATAACAGAATGCCATGGATATCACCGCCTGGATCAAAAACCTTTTTAGCTGACTGAGCTCACTGGACACCAGGGTCTCAGAATCTATTTGTGGCCAGTAAAGGAATTTAATATCGTTGGGATTTGGCCTGTGGTCAGTGGATAATGTTAATGTTAAAAAATAACAACATAAAATACATGAATTGCACATATTTCCTCTACTGTGCAATGGCTGCAATCCAGGGAAGGGCACAGCAGATACACACAGCTTCCTTAGCTTCTGTACCTGGATCTGCCAGTATCAGGTACACTTACCTGTCTGGCAACTTCTCTCAAACACTTGACACCGTTTTCAAAGTTCGGGAATACAATGGATCCATATTTTTTACACTCAGGCATGGGACGGATCTTCAGTGTCACCTCTGTGATAAGACCTAGAGTACCTGCAAGTAGAGAGACACATATCTTCAGTTTATGATTGAAATTAAACTGCATAATTGTATTAAACAGAGTTTATATAATATAATATAACCACAACTATAGCATCGTACAGCAATCTTCCTTTTTTCACAAAATTTCTTTTGCACAATTAAGATAAATGACTTTATTTTTTTTAAATCAATGTTAATATAATAACTTCTGTTTAATAAATATTAAATCTAAGAAATAATGCTATTTGAAAACAGAAAAGTAACCCTGATCATTGCGACCTTAGGTCATAAAGGTTTAGCTCCAATGAGGTGACGTACCCTCTGAGCCCATGATAAAATGGTGGATGTCTGGTCCAGCAGAGATCCTGGGAACCTGGCAGCTCTTCTCCATCACTCCTCTGGGAGTCACTGTTTTCACATGGACAACCTGGAACAGGAAGAAAACATTTACTATGGGAACCACGCACTTGAAATACTGCACATGCTAAAAAGATTTAGAATGAACAGCCCTTGACGATAAGAGGCAAAAAATGTAGACCATTTTAAAACCATATTTGAAAACTTACATCTTTTGAGAACTTTGCAAAGCCCAATCAGAAGTAGTAGTTCATTCAAATAAATGTACTTATAAAGTCTTAAATACACAAAATAATAACAGAATTTAAACTTCCTAGGTCACTTACCAAATCTTCAATATTCCCATAGACATTTTTCTTCATTCCTGAAGCCCTGGTGGCTACCCAGCCACCCAGTGAACTGAACTCCATGGAGTCTGGCTCATGTCCTGTACAGTAGCCTTTCTCTGCAAGCTAATTACAAAAAGATAAAATGACAGATAATATAAGAATGTTTATTAATTATATAAAAAGAAGTGAATTCCTGTGTTTGGTGCACCAACTACCTAGGGTAGGAAAGCCCCCCCCCCAATAAAAAAGAAACAGAATAAATATTTAGTGTCTATGTGGTACCTGTTTTGCATCACAAAAATCTTCTTTTACAATCTTGTTACACTAAGGATATCAAGGGCCTCCTCACTTAGGAAATAATGTGCAGTAAGGGCATTTTGCAACACTTAAACTGTGAGTGTGGGATAAAAGGGGAGGAAGTGGTGACCTGTTCACTCCTATATGTCATTACACTTACCTGTCTCTCCAGGCCCTGTCCTATGATGCCAAACTCATACTGTACAGTATACTGGTACACTTACCTGTCTCTCCAGGTCCTGTCCTATGATGCCAGACTCACAATGTACAGTATACTGGTACACTTACCTGTCTCTCCAGGTCCTGTCCTATGATGCCAGACTCACAATGTACAGTATACTGGTACACTTACCTGTCTCTCCAGGTCCTGTCCTATGATGCCAGACTCACAATGTACAGTATACTGGTACACTTACCTGTCTCTCCAGGTCCTGTCCTATGATGCCAGACTCACAATGTACAGTATACTGGTACACTTACCTGTCTCTCCAGGTCCTGTCCTATGATGCCAGACTCACAATGTACAGTATACTGGTACACTTACCTGTCTCTCCAGGTCCTGTCCTATGATGCCAGACTCACAATGTACAGTATACTGGTACACTTACCTGTCTCTCCAGGTCCTGTCCTATGATGCCAGACTCACAATGTACAGTATACTGGTACACTTACCTGTCTCTCCAGGTCCTGTCCTATGATGCCAGACTCACAATGTACAGTATACTGGTACACTTACCTGTCTCTCCAGGTCCTGTCCTATGATGCCAGACTCACAATGTACAGTATACTGGTACACTTACCTGTCTCTCCAGGTCCTGTCCTATGATGCCAGACTCACAATGTACAGTATACTGGTACACTTACCTGTCTCTCCAGGTCCTGTCCTATGATGCCAGACTCACAATGTACAGTATACTGGTACACTTACCTGTCTCTCCAGGTCCTGTCCTATGATGCCAGACTCACAATGTACAGTATACTGGTACACTTACCTGTCTCTCCAGGTCCTGTCCTATGATGCCAGACTCACAATGTACAGTATACTGGTACACTTACCTGTCTCTCCAGGTCCTGTCCTATGATGCCAGACTCACAATGTACAGTATACTGGTACACTTACCTGTCTCTCCAGGTCCTGTCCTATGATGCCAGACTCACAATATACAGTATACACTTACCTGTCTCTCCAGGTCCTGTCCTATGATGCCAGACTCACAATGCACAGTCAGGTTGTTGGGGTCTATCCATAAGATTTTGTTCTGAAATAGTAAATGAAAGGATGTTGTTCATCTCTGTCCTTTTACAATATCAGATTCTTGTCTTAGGTGAAAGGTAAAGGCTGAATTCATAGCCTGTTATCCTTGAGAAATGAAATCATCCCTGGTCTTTTTGGATCAGTCCAAACATGAAGCAATCTCATCTCCCTGGGGTAGGAGCTGGGGTGCAACAGCTTTAAATAATTAATCAGTAGAGACATTAAATAAAAGCTGAAAGCAATCATGCAAAGGAAACATGTGAACTGTAGTGAGGTATGCTGCTTGACAGGTCACAACTAAACATTTAAATTACATGTTTGCAAATCACAAAACAGACAATTTGATCTTACCTTCCCTCTGTGTGCAAGTGTGCACATGGACGTGCATGTGCTGAACATCTTATCAACTTTAAGATCAATATTTGATGCCAGGGTTGGCATAGGAGAAAATTTACCACATTTAATTAATATATTTATATTCAATATAAAATAAGGAGCTTTACCATTTGTGATGTATCCACAGACACAATCATCCTCTTCTCATTGATGGGACACTCCAAAGCTCCTGACACACTGGTGCCACCTATTGGGCAAAATGAAAGTTATTCACATGGCCAGAGCATATTTGAAATATATTCCAGAGCTCCATTGAAATCTGATAAACATACTTAGTATGAAGATAATAATAAAGTGTTTTAAAAACACACAGAAACTCTGAGGACATGGGATATTGAAGACATTTTTATTAGTAAGTTCAACAAAATAAGCATTAATTGAACTTTTTAGCATAGTGTGAGTATTAAAGTTACAAATGTTATCCAATTTTTAAGAATGGCAGTGTTTAGTTTCTTTTTCTGAAATAGTTCATAAAAATTGGCCTGGAATTTCACTGACCTCCAAATGGGATGAGGACTACATTATGTTTGGTTGCTAAGGTGACAATTTTCTCACAGCAGCCATTACACATAGGCCAGACCACAAGATCAGGAATTCTCTCAAAGCATCCCTCGCGTAGCATGAACATCTCATGAAGAGTGTGGCCTGAAATATAGAATTTCCAAGATATCAATTGCAAGGATAATTTGTGTGTGTGATAATATTCTGCATTGAGCATACTGGGTACGCATCTCATTGTCAAGGTTCTTAAAAGGTGCATCTTCCATGCAGCGGGTTAAGGAATTGTACATTCAAAAGATGTCAGACATAACAAATACTCTGTCAAATCCACATAACAGAAAATCAGAGCTTAATCAGGCTTAATGTTCAATAACTATCATTTTGATATCTAGGAAAGGTAGTTGAACATAAATGAGACCAAAGCCATCCCCTAAAAACATCAAAGCTTTCTGGTCATAATTTTCTAATACTGTGTAGTACTAACCATGAGCTCTGAACAGCCTGTCTTGGCAGTCATCTGAGAAGTCAATTCCTGCTTTCTTCAAATCTTGTAAAAATGCCTCATTTCTGATTGCATTGGGAATGTCTGCTGCTGTGAGATCAGGCTGAAAACACCGAGCAAATGGAAGGTTTATGCTGTGCATTGGATATTTCAACTTAAAGAGGACTCTCTCTCTTTCTCTCTCACACACACACACCCTCACACACATCTCTCTCACACACACAAACACACACAAATGCACACACGTGTGCACGCACACACATACACACCTCACACACAAACATACACACACACAAACACATGCACGCACATGCACCTCTCTCTCTGTCACACACTCAAACACACACAAACACACACACACACACACACACACACACTACCAAACAATTCAGACTGCCACTCGCATTGACCACTCACTTGTGCTGGGGACTTGTGGTCAAGGGTGATGCCCATAGTTTGTGACATCCAGTCTATCATAGCTGGCATGGTCATACCACTCAACTTATACCTAGAAAACATAGGACATATCATGCTCATAATGGAACTATCAGGTGTGGGAGGTTTGCTATAAAGTACAGGGCTTGTTTCCAATTTAACTAGGTTTTGAATATGTTTTCTTTTTAAAGTCACTGTGTTGGCATTTTTTTCTACTGAAAGCATGTCAAAGACCCCCAAAGACTGCTCCAATGAATCCCATACAATACAGACAAATTTAACTTCTCTTCCTTCCTTTAGTATGAACACAATTCTAGACTTACAACTTTTCAAGTTTATCAAATTGTGAAAGTGAGCACTTATCTTTAAACAAGCTTAGCTTATTCAGCTGTGAGTGCAACCACTTAACTCTTTTCAGGCTAACTTCATTCAGTTGTGAATGTGGCCACTTACCTCTGACCAGTGAACTCTACTTGACCATTTTTGTTGATCATAAATTTAGAATCTTTGTAGCCCCAGCCATTCCACTTCAACAGTTCCTGTCTGGGAAAAAAATAAATAAAAAAAATAAAATAAAATTTGTTCTCTCTCTTATGACTTACAATTAGGTTTTTGAAGTTAAATTCAAGTTCATTAGCAATTAATCATGATTTTAAAAATAAATGTTATGCAGAATATATTTAAATCTTAAAAAGTATTTACTGTTTTCAGTGTCCTTTGCCCTTTCTGTGAAGAGAAGAGTGTCAGTCTACCTTATTTCCCATTTTTCATTTTGGAAAGAGAGAAGGGCTCACATTTAATTGTTTCTTCTAATAAACTGAGCTAGAATTTTTGTGCAAAAAGCTGCCAAAACTTAATAAATAAATAAATAAATAAATAAATAAATAAATAAATAAATAAATAAATAAATAAAATGCAAGTTGTCATAGTGGGTTTGCATCCAGCAGGACACCTTGGGTGACTGTAAACAACAAGTGAAAGTGCTGTAAGATTAATTAGGATAATCTTCAGTGATAGTAGAGCTACAAATATTCAGATCATTTTATTTTATGAGATCTGGACATTGTGGGGTGGCTACAGTGACTGACATTGGTAAAGAAGAGGAGAATCCATTTTGCTCTTCCATGATTTTAATTAAATCTTCATATCGTTGCTATCATAACTTATGTTGTTTTACTGTAGTGCCAGTGATTATACAAATTGCATTTAAAGGTAATACCATTTAAGAAGCTTATTCTACATGTGTGCATGCGCCTCCCCTCCCCCCCCCCCCCACCCACCCAGCCGCACACACTATGTTATGCAATTGTACTCTAACAGTAAGACAACCAGCGTACAACAGCCCGCACTACGATGTGGGCAGGGCGAATTAGGATATGGGGTGACTGGGCGAAGGTCAAGGTCGGCAGCAAGATAAGGACGAGGAATTTAAACAATAAACTCAAATTTTACACTTAAAGATAACAAACGACTGAACATTAAAAGCAAACAAGTAAGAATACCTTAAATATTCTTTAAATGCATGCATGCAGTTGTTTAATTGGATCAGAAGAAGAGTAGAGGAACACCCGGTACAGTAATCAGGTCGACCCATGACAACGCAAGTCGTTTACAAATCGGTCTCTTACCTTCGCTTAGGAATGGTAGGCGATTCTTCCTTAGCTGCCATGATCTAACAAAGCCTATTTGCGTGCTCAGGTGAACTTGGTGTTGATTTCTCAAACCGAGCAATCAAGTCAAACGCCAGCAAAACGGACAGGACTACACCAGGCAACACGCTGCAACTCACTGTGTCGGCGAAGAATAAATATCGATGTGCATTTGTTTCCTTTTGTGTAGATAATGTGAGTATGTTGTGTCAAGTTACGATATTTTTTCTCCAGTTTTCAGTCTTATCTTCCACAAAGAATAATACGAAGCTTTGCTTCTGAGTCGATACATAATGGTGAGTATTAAACAATATATATTCAACTTAGATAGGGTTTTTATTCGGTGAAAATGACTTGCAAATTTTGCACGAGTCCAAGGTAGCTGATGTGAGACGCAGCACCAGCTGTGTCAATCGTTATGTGAATGTTTTACTGGGCTGGTAAGGAAGGACCAACACAGAATATTTCTTTGCAATGATGAGCTCTCGGATAGTGGATTTAGGTTAAACGCTGATGGGTTATTTGGCCAAATAATCAACCATTTAATAGCAAACCTATTCACTGTAGTGTTGGGTAATGTTTTATGGTCAAAGAATTTATAAATAGTGGCCCGATATTCTCACTCTGCTCTAACATTTTGATTAACGGTTTTTATTATTTACAGAGCATGCTGGTGATTGATCAAATGTAATTGGGAGTTCTCTGGGGAGAAGTATATAAATGGAATATCAGTGAAAAATTACATCCAAGAAAATACATCCAAGAAAATAATCCTCAGAGAGTAAAAGAAAAATAATTTTACTGGTGCATCTAGAAGCTTTCCCATCATTCTTTAAATGCTTGTGTTGCTGTGATTATATTTGATCATTTGTTATTTATTTTTCCAGCGAAGTTTGTGTAGGGATTCCATGCATCACCAATAATACATCCTTAGCACGATGCAGCATGCATGATGAAATTGTTGAGCACAGTTTGTTGAATGTTGAAAACATGTCTGGAAAACTCCCAGAACTTAGCATGCAGTCTTCCAGGTAAATTCCTTACAACTTGACATTACAACAAGAATGAAACATTTTCAGATAGTGATTAATATTTAGGCATCGCATGAAGATTTCTAAGATAATTGCTGTCTTTTTAACTGTCTAAATATTATATACATTATCTTCACCCTGCTGCTCAACATGAAATTGTTAGTGGAGCTATCTAAATATAATATTTTTTTCTTTTATTACAGAGGAACAAAGAGGCTCAGGAGCAATGATGACTATTGTGAGGACTGTCTTCCCATCTCCAAGAGAATTAACAGACTACATATTAAACAGGGAGATGTCAGCTCTGACGAGGAAGTCAAAGAAAGTTCTAATTCCACAAAACCAAAAATGTGTTACTGTGGCAACAGAGGCCATTTTATCAGGGAAGAGGTTTCGCATCTATGTAAAACACACGCTGCTACTTCAAGGATACCCCACAAGCAAGGATTAGAATGCCCGTCTACGGCCTCTGTGGCCTTTTATAATGGTGAAAGGTCAGAGGTCATAGGTGACTTAGGTGACCTTCACCTTAACATCCTCAGTGATAATAACAATACTCAACATGTGAACTGTGCTGGTAGAAATAGAGTGGAGAATGGGTTCGAGGCTATTCACGGTGCAGGATCTGGTCATTCTTCTCAGCATAATAGTATTGTCAGTCAAAGCCAGTCTCTCAAGATGCCAAATTATGGTGTTCCTGAAAATATTGATGAAGTCATGATGGATTTAGAAAGCTATGAACCAGAGCTGAGTGAAGCTGAGAATCCGTATTACTTTCAGAGTAACCACAGATTGTTTGAAGTACATAAAGAAAGAATGGAGAGATTGCTGAGAAATGGTACTTTCTATACTTATCAAACATGATTAATATCGTGATTATTAAATTTAAAGATACATTATTGTATGTTTTGTGCACTGTTCTTTCTGGTATAATTTGTGTAACGGAAGTGTGGGGGATCTAGTTTTAGTGCTAATTATATATGCCATTCATTGATAATTTAATGTTGAATTCTTGTTTACCAAGCCTTATTTATTACTTAAGAGTTAAATAAACACATTCTTACTCTTCATTTTCTTTTTAAAAAGTCGACTTTATTGGCAGAAGGTAATTTGGTCATATCCTTATTATTTCGAAAGTTTGAATACTTTTTTATAGAACTGGAAAAGATTTCATTGTTTTAGCGTTTTGATACGTGTAGCCTTTACTCTAGGTATCTTTGGACCTCCATAAGTGGAACTTCAACAAAGTCTGTGTTAAATAACCTTGAAAATTTAATGCATGAACACCATCAAAATGTAAATCGAAGTGCATTTGCCAACTACAACTACAACTATCACTTACATTTTGAGACTGGGTAAAATGTGTACAAGTTATATGGTGACGAGGGGAAAGGTGATTCTAGTTGCAAAAGCTAGGTTGTCATATACTAGTTATGATGAACAGCTATAGAGACAATTTTCTACTGTTAAGCTGGTTTTAACTGGAACACATAAATTTGTCGATGACAGACAGTTGATTTCAAATCAGTTAATTGTGAAGTCAAAATGAACTTGGTTTGTCGAAAATTACTGCACAAATAATGATTAAGAGTGAAGATTGGAAATATGACGGGGTAAGAAGTTCATTGTTACATGTCAACGTCAATTATTTAGCTTAAAGTTTACCCCACTGCACATTACGCATTTCCAAACAAATTAATAGACCTACCCGTAATATGTTGGTTTGCCTATTTGTCTTTTTTTTCACATTTGATTTTATTTGTTTGTTGTTCTGAATCATTTGCCAGTCTTGCTTATCTGTTTTTACCTCTTTTTTTTTTCAAGCTTGTTTGCTTTCACATGGTTGTTGCTCTAATTTTTTTTTTTTTTTTTTTTTTTTTTTTTTTTTTTTTTTCTTTTTTTTTTTTTTTTTTTTTTTTTTTTTTTTTTTTTTTTTTTTTTTTTTTTTTTTTTTTTTTTTTTTTTTTTTTTTTTTTTTTTTTTTTGTCAGTCTTGCTTTTTTTTTTATTTAAAATTTATTTCTTCCTAGATTCATCTCAGAGAATTGTTCTGGCCTCGGCTATCCAAGGATCCTGTCATAAATCAACCACATAATCATTTGAAATATGTAATCGGCAAAAATTGTTTGTAATGAGAGAAGTCGATAGAAGGCTGGGTTGCACCAGGACGGACAATGACTCGTATAATAACACTGCACAGGTCGAACAGAAAAATAACCGCTTGAAGCAAGCAAGGGAAAATCGACTTTCTATCGGAATTGTAAACTTTACCTGACATGCAAATAGCTTCATTTCAAACGACAAAATGGATCACGACAACGAATACAATCTATTATAATAGATTTTCAAATTAAAAGTCCATTTGGATACCACAATAACTCGTTCAATTTCCTTGTTAATTACATTTTGAGGCACCTGATTATATATATTTAAAAGTGTCATTCTGGATTTGCTTTAGTTTGAAAATTGTTACATGAAAGCTTCGACGGTGAAAGTAAGCAGCACTGCACGATGAAATCTTGCTACTTGTTTATTTCACTGGTAAGTGAAAAACGGGAATGTGGATTCCATTAAAATGGTGAATTTCACCAAGTATGAAAAATTATCAAATTTCTCAGTGATATTGACTCTTAAATAGATTAAAACGATGCAAAGGATATTGTAACACCGGGGATTTTATATGTTGCTTTAAAACAATAAAACGTACACAGTTTTTATAGTGAATACTATTTTAAAAAGAAAAAAATCGTGCAGAAATTAGCTTGATAGTGAAAAAAGAACACTTTATCAAACACGATTTCTGGAATATTTTACGAATTCGGTTTAACGAGAAGGCATATCTACCGCTGATCTTATAGAAATAATATAAATACATTTGCCTCTCTCAGGCGCTGTGCACTGTGTCCTGTACCACAGTCCAGAATCGTGTGTACACACTGAGTGACGTATCACCTGTGCACAGGCCGTTCCAATGTAGCCAATTGACATGTTCAGAAGACTGCAAGGGGATTGCGCCCTCGTGCGCCGTAGACAAGGATACGTTTATGGAGTGCATTGATGCGCGCTTTCAGCAGGGCGGCAAGACAGTTGGGCACTGCTACCGTACGTATATAATGTTGGCCAGTTGATCTATCACTGTTTGTCAATCACCGCTAATTCCAATCCAATCGTCGCACGGTAGTTACAGGTGGGCGGAGGGCGTCTTAAACCAATTCATTCCAACCTTGATACTAATAACATATCTATAGATTTAATACCACGCCTTCGATGTTTCCAGAAGTTTTTGCACACATGCACATTGCAAACACGTTAACGCAAATGCAGGTTAAAATATTACAAAACGTCGAACCATCCATTTTATAACATAACAGGTCGCTTAAATTTAATGCATTGGCTGTTGTCCATTTCAGCCCGATTTATTAAATATTACGTTCAGAAAGAGATCGCCCAAGAGGTAACGACTGTGGTCGGCGGGGAAATGGTGACCTGTGAGAGACCGACCTTCTCCCTCGTAGTAAAGAGCGATGACCAATATAAGCCACCTGCAGCACCCCTGGCATCCGTCGAGTTTTTGCCGCTGCTGCTCTGCTACAACATACGGCGGTAGGTATATTAATTACTTCATTTCTACCCGATTTAGTTTTCAGTGACGTTCTTGTACGTCGTCCTCCTGTTTGGCCATTTTTAATACCTTGCATCATGTTTTNTTACTGAAATGTCTTTTTAATACCTTGCATCATGTTTTAGATTCGGAGATTCCTTGACATTCACTTTTTTCCTCTGCCGTTTCCAACAGCTTCTAGAGTCTCGTTTCTGAATATTAAAAGTGGTCTGGTGGTCCAGGGTAATCAAAGTTCTATGTTCTGTTAATATGTGAAAATTGCCTCCAATTTCATTGTATCTGCGCGGCTTATTGCACTATGATGACTACATTGCTTTTTAGTGTTACCGTGTGATACTTTGTTTATTTTAAGGATTTCTATCGTACTTACAGTAAATTTGTCGATATTCTAATTTTGTTAAAATGGGTCATTCCACAATCGTATCGACTAAAGTCAATAATCAGCCGACTAATGCACTCGAATCCGTACATTTATCTAGGATCTCTACTGCCGGTTCTGCTATTGGTGGTCAGAGGACGGAGAATGATTACACGCCTATCTGCGACAGCCTGGTTGACAAGCTAAAGAGAGAGAATCCAGCTTTCTTCACGGCTGGAAAGTTCAATCTTGATGACACCGTGGCCAAAGGATATATGGTGAGCATAACCCACTTCAGCTTCTGTAGTCTACCATAGCCTCCCCGAGTTTCACGGCAGAACGCTGGCTCGGGTTGTCACGCCATGTTGTCATATCGATAAAAGAAAAAAAAAAAAAGAGAAAGTAGACTCAGTGATTAAAGAAGCCTACATTACTCAGATATAGGAAGAAGTTCTTTTGGTATTTAGTTAAGAGAGAGAGAGAGAGAGATGGGAGTTCTCAGTGGCGGATTTAGAGGGGGGGGGAGGGTCCTGCCCCCCCCTTCGGTTTATGAAAAAAAAATCACATAAATATTCCCCTCTTAAAATTAGAATTGAATTTTAAGGGGGGGGGGGGGGTGTAAGTATCCCTGGTTCCTATATAAGAAAACACACAAATCAAATTGATTGTTACACACAATATATTATTATTATTATTTGTATATATATTTTTTATTACTGTGATGATGATGATGATGATGATGATGATTTAATTGCTTTCGTGCAGGGTGTTATTGGCAGAAAACCCAATGAAATCCTGAAGTGTTTCAGGGACGGTGCATGGGGACACTGCTCAGACCCGACGCTCAAAGGTTCCGCCCTGAACTGCCGGCTATGGGCCAATATTCCTGGCTTCTTTTAAAGGCGCACCCTGAGCAATATGCCTTCATATTATACCAAAAATATTATCCTCCTGGAAATTCCAATATTGTTCCGTAAATCGCCAGGGTACACGTAATTTAAGACCAATTTTGATTTCCTAGTTTCTAAATCCTTGAATCATTTTCGAAATGGAGATGGAGACTGATGAATTTCTATCTAACTCTTACGGCAAAGATTAGACCCATAGAATTGAAAAACCCGCTGAGAAAACGTGCATTTCATTTTATTGTCTAACAGTTTTGAATCGAGTATATCTTGGTGATCGAGGGACTATTGCTCAGACTATCAGGCTTCTATGCAATTCATGTATATGTTGAGGACAAAAGGTGTAATTATCGATTATACGTTTTGTTTTAAGGTTCAATAAAGTAAAATGCACATTATCACATATGGTATTTGACAATTGTTACTTCTGTTTTGTATTTTGATAAACGGTAATAAAAAACAATTATATTTGCTACATTAAATATATTTCAAAAAATGTAAATTCGCTTGAAGTTTCTTATTAAGTCTATGTCTCTCGTAGTATAAGCGTTAGTCGCCTCAGCAACTTTAAAAAATTAAATTCTCATTTCTATGACGATTAATCTTTTGGAGACACTGCAAATTTATAAATACACACACTGGACAAAAGAAGTGTCACCCCCTAACTCAGAGTAATAAAAGTAGGCAGATCTTGGGTACTTATAATGCCTGGTCTACTTATAATGTGACTAATGAGTATAAAACCGCTATACCATGGAATTGTATTGTTGGTCTTGTACATGTACAGCAAATTTTATTCCTGTCTTCCTCCAATATGGCAAGATACAGACAGTATCTAACGGTTTTAGGTGCAAGCTATTAACCTGAAGAGGCGGAATATAAGCAATGTCAGAATATCGATACAATTGAATTGTTCAGTCAGAACCGTGCAGGGGGTCTGGTCTCGGTATAGAAACACTGGATCAAGAGACAAATTGCGTCTGATGGGTCGTCCAAGAAAAACTACTGGCCGTGAAGACCGACGACTGAATTTGATGTCCAGGTTATCAACAAACGACACTGCATGTCAGTTGACAACACAGTGGAACAATTTCACACATAAGAATGTGTCTGTGAAAATTGCTAGGCGTCGGTTACATGCTCANTCCACTTATCGTGTTATCGCTGAGTGCACGGCGACGACGGCGACGACGGCGACGACAGACGCAGATGATGGCTATATGTACAGACACATCTGTGTCTGTACATATAGCCATCATCTGTGTCTGTATTTAAAAAGCCTTTTTTGACACATCTGTGTCTGTACATAAAAAGCCTTTTTCACTAACAACAGAAGTCATTTTAAGTAACCATATTTTACCAGTGGTTTTCTATTGAAATGTTTTTGTTCTTTGATATATATTTCAAACGAACCTATTTCAGGGAGATCCAAAGGAAATGAGGAGGAACTATTTTAGAAAGTTGGAGTTTAAGGTATGCTTAGGTTGTTACAATCACTTCAGTATGCATACAGGTATGGTAAACACTGCACATAAACTTGAATATACGATCTTGTTTTAATTATGTCTTTTTGAAGTTCCCATGCCCAGGGAGGTGCGGTGAAGTGTTTTATCAACTTTCTAAAATCTAGTCCTCTTTCTAGCTGGACATGCTGTCTCTGCTACCATTAGATCTCCTGTACTTTGCTGTAGGGTTCAACTCATTACTGCGGGCACCAAGGTATTTTAAGGTAAGCACAACATTGACAAAATATTTTAAGTTATTTTAATATTAAATTGACCTGGGTTTTAGATGACTTTACAAAATGACAAGTTTTAAAATGTATCCCTTGTAAGGCGTTTCCATTTTTTCTGGCATATTTTTTCAGATCAAGACATTTCTAGAGTTCTACAACCGCTTTGATCAAGCTGCCAAATCTCCCCATTTAATCCGTGTTGCCAAGACGATGACGTACATGGTGTATCTGATCCACGTAGAGACATGTGGTTACTATGCGGTGTCTGTCTATGAGGGAATAGGGAGCAATAAATGGGTGTACAATGGCGAGGGGAACGCGTGAGTTGACACTGAAGATAACTTGCTATTCATAGATTTAGCTTGAGGAGATGGCTATCACTTCAGCCCAACCCCCGATAATCAGTCAGTCTTACAAGACATCTATCTTTTCAGCCCTCCAGATAGGGCTGGGCTGAGATAATGGCTATCGTATCAACCCGCTAGACAGTCAGTCTAAAAAGACGGCTATCACTTAAGCCCTCAGGGATAAGTTAGTCAGAGGAGATTGCCAACATTTCAGCCATCGAGACAGAGTCAGACTTAGAAGGCAGCTATCATTTCAGCCATCCAGACAGACTCAGCCATAGCACACTTGACTGCTATCGTTTAGATTGGTGTGGGGGGTTCTGGGTTATCTGGCTTGTAAAAAGTGCGATACAAGCAGGTCTTGTTATAAGCTCCACCAAAACGATTACTGTAGCAGTATGTTTTTGGTTCCATTTGTCTGTCTGTCTGTCTGTTAGCAACATTATGTAAAAAGCTATGGAGGCAATTTGATGTAATTTTCAAAATAGGTTTAATAGAATTGGGCTATATTTGGGGGATGGTCTGTCGTTTTTCAAATCATTGCCACTAAACTAAACAAAACTAAACCGAACGGTTAAACATAATGTGTTTCCTCTTGCTTCATTTTTCATTTTATTACGAATTTGAGGGGTGGATAAGTAGGTCAATATTGCCACCAAGCGTTTGAAAAGGGTTCAGTTTGAGACAATTTTTGCATGTGGATTTAATTGACACTAGTGGGCTTGATTTGGTCTAAAAGAGCAATTTGTCTTAAACCATGAGTAAGACTATTTCTGGTCTAACAGCCAATTAAGTTGTCTCCCCTTACACATTCTCCTATTGTGAGCAGAGGTGTCCTCTATTGTGAGGGGAAGTATCCCCCATTGTGAGGGGAGGAAACTGCTTGACCACTTAAGTAGATGTTACATCATTTTTGATCTTAAAAGCAGATTCAGTCCATTTTAAGACTACTGCTGTAATATTTAAGATCGTGTAAGATCACTTGTGAACTTAAACTGCACTTTAAGACCAAATCCAGCCCACTAGTGTGAGTTGTGTAAAAATCTGGAAGTAACAATGTGTATGCATAATAGGCAGGTCTACACGCCTTGACTCTGGATGTAATGTATCTATGACGTGTGACTACAGGATCTGTAAATAGATCGAAATTTGGTTTTGGTTTGTTTTTTAAACATGTGTTAATTAATTCTGTAAAACCTGTGGAAATGAGTAAAAGGGAATTGTAATAAACACCATGTCCTAGGGCCTTCAACATAGTCGTATCGCTTAATTAAGTATATACTGGATAGCACGTGAAATTATGGACTGTTATGAACGCTTTGTACAATTGTGTTTGTTAAAGGTACGTGAGATGTTTCTACTTGGCCACCAAGACATCGACCTCTATTGGTAACAACCCTACACCCACCAACACTCTGGAGTACGTGTTCATGACTGTCTACTGGCTGTCAGGGGTCTTTGTCTTTGCCTTGCTGATAGGACAGGTGAGTGTTCAACGACTGTG